TTAGGTTTGCGTGAAGTTGTGCGGATTATGAGAGATGGATCCCAACAGATATTGATTTTTACATAAATATTAATATGGCCTACCGTTGTATTGTCTGGTGTCCGAGCCAAAAGTATTTAACTTTTGAATATGAGGCAAAATTAAGTCAGTATACTTTCACGCCAATGATGTACCAGTCAAATCCGACTACTGGAGCTCCTCATCGAAAAGAGACCGACACTGCTTTTGAGATAGAGGGGGTCGAGTCTACTCGCAAGTTTCTCGTTCAGGCCGAAAAATGGAAGTAGGTTATGGAGATCGTTGCACGATTACCACTAAATCCTGGTTTTCAGGGCTCCATTCCCACCACCTTAAATTCACAGACTTCACCGAAGGCAGATAGGATGACAGTGTTTTCTCGTGTACTGTGTTCGAATCAACACCTTCCTACATGATTGTTCTCTCGTAGTCTGCATGCTGTATTTGGCAGTCGCAATGATTAACTCAGTTTTCGTCTTTGAACAGCTACATGAGGCTGTATAATGACTGCTACAGGCGTTACCGTCGAAACGTCAACAAAAACCCGAGTGTGGTCATAGCTCAGCTCTCACTGGGATGCCTTGTGTGCGAAATGAGCTTTCCTACTAGCAGCATGCCGACTTAATGGCACACGTTGCCGAGATGACCTTTCCCTCTACCAAAGTGCGGACTCACTCGTACACGTAGTCGGGACGATTATTCCTCTTACCAACTTGCCGACTCACTGGCATACGTAGTCAAGATAATCCTTCCTCCTAGCAACGTACTGATCCACTGGCACCCATTGTCGAGATGACCTTTTCTTCTACCAACTTGCCGACTCACTGGCACACCTATTCGAAATGACCTTTCCCCCTAGCAACCTGCCAATCCACTGGCACACGTTGCCGAGATGCCTCTCCTACCAACGTGCCCACCACTGGCACACGTAGTCGAGCTCAAAAACACATTCTTTCCTCCTTTCAATTTACCGACTCACTGGTAAACGTTGTCGAAATCACGCCACCACATCCTCCGGCTGATGCCACAACTGCACCTCAATACAGGTGCCTGCCTGGCCTCCAGGACGAACAACTAATGTCACCCATGGCAAACGTTCTTGAAACTACATGTGCACTGGCTTATTTCATTCTTTTCATTATTTGCTCACGTTCGACACACTCACTTAGCTCAGTGTCTGGCGGGGAGCTGTGGCGGACGGCCACAGTGCCTGTCCCTCCCCCTGCGTTCTGCAATGCCCGCGAACCCCAACGTCATTT